GCGCTGTGGATGTACCAGGAGTTGAAGAAGGATGGGGCATCAGAGATTAGCGGGAACCCCCTGCCTCCTGGGAGGAAGGGGGCTGTAGGCTGGGTCAGCAGAAACTTGGGCCTGGGGCGTGGAGGGGGAGGGAGGGGGAAGAACGGTGAGGAGCGGCAGGTATCCTGGGAGCTGTGGGGTGGGTGAGGTGGAAAGGACCCTGGTGTCCGCTTAGTTCACATTCCTCTTTGGACAATGTCTGCCTGGCAAGCCTAAAGCTGCCCCATGGTCCCTGGAGAGAGGACCCAAGGAGGGCCTGGCCTCCTCCTGGCCAGCCCTGCAGCCCCTCTGCCCCTGGCACTGAGCCCAGCTGGCAGGTGCTGCAGAGCTGCGGGCTGTGGGGAGAATGAGTAATGAGCCTTGAGGGGCTGCAGGCCCAGACCCTGGCCTCCCTCCCAGGAGGCACCGGCAAGTTCTGCCTCCGTCCCCACAGCTGGCTCACAGACACGTGCCTGTGCATAGCACCCCTTTCCTTCCCACACTGTCCCTCCATATCTTGGCACACACAGACTCGAGTGGAGTCACCCCCTCCTAGAGTCACTCCTTTGCTGCCAACCTCTCTCCCCCGGTCAGGTAACATTCTTTCTGGCTCTCAGGACCCAGGCCCCCACCTCCCAGTCTCTGGAGGCCTCTCCACCATCCTTCACTCTGTCTGTCCCCTGCCAACTTCCTGGACAGGGAGACCCTGCCCCCAGGCTTCCAGCAAGCACCCCTCTGCCATCTCCCCAGAAGGCGGGGATGTATAACAGAGGGACTGGGCTGGGGATCCTTCACTCTGTCTGTCCCCTGCCAACTTCCTGGACGGGGGAGACCCTGCCCCCAGGCTTCCAGCAAGCACCCCCCTGCCATCTCCCCAGAAGGTGGGGATGTATAACAGAGGGACTGGGCTGGGAGTAGGGCAGGGTAACTAAAATCCCCTCCCTCTCCTGAGCTGAGGGGTGAGTGGACAGCAGCACGGAATCCTATTCCCTCTGCTAGCGGAAATCGATAGCTAATTAATTCCCTCCCCAAAATAGTGTCCGGAGGTGGGAGCTGGCGGGGGCTGAGAGAGGCTAGGCCAGACTGAGACCAAGACCCCAGGAGGGGAGGGAGGGAGCATGACACCCAGGGGCTGTGCATCTGGGGTCACTGGAGAAGGGGAGTTTGGCCTTTCCCTCCCCCAAGCCTGAGGGTCCCCCTCCCCTGCCCTGAACTGGAGTGGGGGTACATGTGTGTGGGGGTAAAGGCGTCAATCAGACTGGGAGCAGGTGCTGCATTTAATTTGATTGGCTAATTAGCCCGCGCATGTTAATTATCTCCATTACCCAATGAGCAGAGGCAGTGGCAAAGCTATATATAACCAGGCAGTGCTGAGAGGGAGAGGGGCTGCTTCCGGGGCTGCCTCACAGCCTCTGCCCCGCCTGGGAAGAGCCAGCCCTTGGAGGGGCACTTGAGTCCCTATTGGAGTTTGTAGGGTTGGGGGTGGGGCAGCGTCAGAAGGAGCCAGATGGAAGGACCTGAGAGTTGGGCTTTGGGGGTCTATTGGGGATGGCTCCCTAAACACTACCACTGGCTCCTGAAGACTTCCAGCCCCTTCTCCCTCCTGTATTCACGTCACTTCAACCACCCTTCCCTCCCCCTCGCTATGTTATTAGGGAGGCCCTGGCTTTCTCTCTTCCTTCAGACACCCAGCTTCCTCCCACATAGCTCTCTGACTCCTCACCACACCCTTCCAACCTCCTCCCTCTCCAAGCCACCCACCTCCTCTTCTTCTGGTTCCCACCTCTCTGAGTTACACCTGTGGTTGCCCTGCCTTTTGTCTCCTTCATGGAGACAGACAGATGTGGATCAGACAGATGCGGGTCTAAGTCCCAGTTCCCTGCTGACCGGCTGTGTGACCCTGGGTAAGTCCCTAGACTTCTCTGCGGGCTTCCCCAGCGGTTAATGGGAATAATGGGACTTCTCGGAGTGGTGGAGTAAAATGACATTTGTAAAAATGCCCAGCATCCCGGGCCCTGACAAATGCTGTTTGAATTTGGAATTTAATTTTATCTATCTTCTCATTCCTTTTCTCCCCATCAGGCCGCCTCTCTCCTCCATTACTCCTCTGTCTCTGTCACTTTCCATGCCATTCCTCTCCTTCCACTTCCCCCTTCCATCTTTCCCTGTCTGGTCCCAAACTCTGGCCCCTCCCTGCTTCTCTCTCAGACTTCTCCCCACCTCCTTCCCTGCCTTCCTCCCCCAAATAAAATCAATGCAATATTCAGGAGGGTTGTTGGATATAAATAATTACGACTTGGAGTTTAACGAGATGCAAATTCCCCTCCCCTGCGTGGGGTATAAATTGCTCTCTGACAGCCCGTTACAAGGGTAATCATTTCAGAAAGGCAATTTTATGCAAATGAGCCTGCCTGCCTCCTGGTGGCTCCCCCAGCCCTGAACGGGGAGGAGGGGAAGAGAACGCAGGGATGGGGCCAGGTCTGAGGCTCAGGACTGGGAGATGGAGGTTGAGGGTGACACATTTAGGTTCATGAAGGATCTGGACTGGTGAGCAGTGGGGTTGGGGCCCAGGAAAGGGTGAGTGTGGTTGGGGGTGGGTGGGGGGTTTGGAGAAAAGGAATCAGATGCCTGTGTCCTTGCCTGGATAGAGAGGGCTTGGGCCTGGATGCCTGCGCCCTGGCTGGCTTCCGTCTCTTGCCCCTTCCCAGACATTGATACCATTGACGAATTGACATTTAATTAATCCCAATGAATTATTTAGCCACTTCATTATCCAGCATCAGGAGCTGATGAGAGGGAGCTGTGGCTGTGGTGGAGCCATGCTCAGGGCTGGGTGGCTCAGGGAGGAAGGGGCTGGGTCGCCCGCAGACAGGAGGCGGGGTGAGGGCTTCTGCGTCGGGCGCCTGCTGGACTCTAAGGTGTTACCTGTCCACATCTCACACCAACAATGCGCTCGCCCTCCAGGCCCGAGGCACCCGCAAGTCCTAATGGGAAACAACTGCGCGCTTGCCGGTGTGAGGGGGGAGCTAGGCACCGACCGCCCCCCTCCCCCAGCCCCTCATGAACCTTTTCCTCTCTCTTCCCCCGCAGGCACCCCTCCCGCCTCTCCCGTCGGAGC